CAAATATAGCCAGACACAACAAGACAAAATGTATTAATGGTGACTAAGATAATTTGTAATATTTTTATTTAATACATAAATATATTAAAGTTAATTATTGTTTATGAAAACCTGTTTATATAGGAAATTGGTTAAAATTTTGTTTGCAATCCATGATCAAGGTATATTAAGAAATTATGGTGTAATGGTTAATTTCCTTTACTTTGGTGTAATATTTTAAAGTTTCATTGTTACTAATCTCTTATAGTATCTGATGCTAACAAATAGGCTATTATCTCAACATCACCCTGTCCAAATTATGTTGCAACAATCAGTAAATGATCAAACATAAAAAACAAGTGATTACCAGGGTTGCAACATGGCAAAATCTTTGAACTTTTATAGTACTTGTAAATTATAAGTTATAAATGAACTAGTCGACTCCATAGTTTGTAATTTTATATTATGTTGAAAATGACAATACTTATAATTTTGTAAATTTATTGAAATTCTTTGAACAAAAACAATAGTTGCATTACTTATTTAATATTCATTACTATCATATTATAAATGAATATAAAACGTAAATAATGATATTTAAAAAATATTACCCTGTTGCACTTTAGTGCATATTGATAACAATCGAAATTCCTATTACACTACTCAAAAATCAATGTCCAATATCATTAATTAGTAAAATGTGATAGATTAATCCAATCTTAAACCTATAAAGGGACAGTTGTACTTATGGTTGCTTTAGTTATAACGTTATGCACAAAGATTTTGCAATGTAATTGTTAATCCAAGTACATTAGTAACACGGATATAATATTTATTATTAAGATTAGATATAAATTTATATTACCAATAATAGTAAATGAACTGTGTTAGTAATGTTCTTGGGTTGATAATTTTATTGTCAAATTATCACGCAAGGTAAAATACCTAATTTACTGCTATTTTATAATAATTAGCTCATGAGACCTCTGATTAAAATAAGGTATAAATACCCCAGTTAAAAATAAAAAGAATCATTAATTTAATAATATTAACATTTAATTACCTATTGATTAATAAGTTATTAATAATAACCAATAGCTATGTATATGCGAGTTATTATTGTTTGTATTACCATTCATATGGTATGGTCAGCACCGGCAGTTAACAAGGACATTAGCCCCATTGTAAGTATTACATAATTAGTTTTTAAAAATAAATAAATAATTTTTATTTAACCAAGGGGAAACACATATTGGCTAACATAAAAGCAGCAAGTAACCCACAGGCATTTGTGGCCTATACTGAGTATAACATGGATCATACCGAGGCTGATAAGTTGGTCGAGCAAATTCAGAAAGTGTTCCAGGACAGTGTGACTAATTTTGAAACTCAACAATGTTTAACACGGGACGAAAAGGACATGGGTATATCGAAGTATGACAATTGCTATCAAATACTCTCCCTGGCCCTCTCAGAAAAATTGGCACCCTATGTGGTTACTGTGGGTGAACCGGCCTATTATGGGGTGAATCATGATGTAAAGACTCACACGAAAATGATCGAGATGCTTTTGGGAGAATTGTACTTTAATGCAATTGAACTTACACCATAAATATTTCTAAATTTGTTACCAAGTTTGTTTACGATAATATTGACCAATATATTACTATTGACATTGATTGATTAATTTTTTAATAAATAAATATTAAATTTCCCTGCATATTTAAATGATCTTATTTATAATATCAAAAATGACAAATGAGGCGGTTTTGTAACATTCATTGTTGTAATTCATAATATTTTGTATATCTAAACATATGTAATAATTTTATTAATTAGAACAGACTTTAAAATCTAATTAATTAAATAATTTGATATTAAATATATAATTAAATATTAAGTATATTGATAATTTCAATTAGTGTTACCATAATAAAATGCTAATGATATTTTACATTTAAATTAAGATGCTAATTAGTGTAAGAGTAAATTTACAGTGAATATGATATAACCGATGCACTTGATATTTATAATAATAACACATTAAATTATCAAGGTTAATAGTTGTACTAGAAGTTGAAAATTATACAGTTTTTGCCCACATTTACGTAGTAAACGAGTGGGTTATCAAATCAGGATTTATAGACATTTGAAAATCATGAGAATTTTTGGTTCATTTACAGAAATTACAGAAATGTTTTGAAAACTAATAATGCACTGATTTATACATTAATGTGTCACTTAATTAAACAGCATTTGAGTGATAAATAAGGCCATAAATACACTGCCTATAACGTATAAATAACTTATAAAATTAAAAATATAGCTTAAATATAACTTAATAAATGTAACTTAAACTTAAAAATATAACCTATAACTTATATAGTATTTAAATGTTTAGAAAATGTTTATAAATTATTATAAATGTATACTAAACACTACTAATATGTAACCTTGTAGGTACAGTACACAAGTATCTATACCGTATAATTAGATAATATTGCATTTAAAGAGATTTTGCACTTAAGTTAAATAATAATTATTAAATTCTGTATTAATATACATATTTTACAACTACTGTATTCATATGTTTTTTCAATGCAATATCTAATCTGTATATTAGACATATAAATCTGTTATAACAATTGCATCATTCAAACATAAATATATCCTTTACTTTACTAACATTAATGATATTATATTTTTAAATTATCGTTCATTTAGATTAGAATTTCTAGAATTTTAAATATAAGGGCATAAATGAAATGAAATACAGGTATTATTTCTACTATTATTACTGCTAATATAATTTATTATTATAACATTTTCAAAAGTATCATCTAATAAATAATCAACTAATTAATTAAAATGTCAATCAGTAAAAAACCTAATTATATAATCCGTGCAATGGGTTTGTCTGATTGCGATGAAGTGCGAGAGTTATGGAAAGGTGCAGGGTTCACTATTGTCAACAATGTGAACGAGGTATTCATGAAACTAGATCCGCAGGGCTTACTGGTGGCTCAGGACCAAGATTCCGGTATTTGTCACTATTATAGTGAACAAAATTTAAACATTATTTAAAAGTACCTTTATGAATAAATAATGATATTTTTAAAATTTAACGAATTAAAGGAAAAATCATTGGATATTGCGGTGCAGTCAATGTCGCCGAAGATTTTGCCGTTATTGGCGGGTATTGTGTGAAACCCGAGTACCAGGGTCATGGTATTGGGAATAACATTTGGAACTCGGGAATGGCACACATGGGCGACCGGAATATTGGACTTACGGCCGCCAATACGAAAATGCTTGAGATATACAGAGATCGGCATCATTTCAAATGCATTCGTGAGCCCATCCTCTATATGAGAGGGGAACTGGCGTTAGACAGGGATCTCATCGATTATATCAAAGGCGTCTCTTTGGTGGCCATCAATGAGCACAATGTCCGCGATGTCTGTGAATACGACCGACAAGTCTGCGGTTTAGACAGAAGTGTAATGATTGAGGGCTTCTATCAAACGGCAGATAATGTCTCAAATCACCGGTAATTACTGTCCTTAGTCCACAACCCGATAACAAAATAATACCTCTGCACAATAGTCCCAGAAGTTAACCAACGTGGAGAAATACGCCTGTTGGCAGTTTATCGTCTCGACAACCACCACAAGTGTTGCCTACTTTTGCCATTAAGTAAGAGGAGTGATGTGATCATCAAGTGTTGGAAATCAGATCACAAAGCGATACAATTGGCGAAGAAATTGGGATTATCTGAAGGGATGGAACAGATGGCAGGATATACCAAGGTGATACCACAAACTAATGTGGCTAAAATGTACAGTTTAGGCAGTACTATGTTCTATGTACTCTGAACACGTGTTTTGCTAGACTATTAACTGTTCATTAATACTTTATTACAAGAATAAACTATATTTTTTTACATGAACAAATGTTTTATTAAATTTATTGAATTATTAAAATTATAATGTTTGAAAAAGCAATTGTTTATATATCTTTAAATATTCAAAATATCGTCATCTAGATAAGATGTACAGGTATAGGACTGTACAGTATACTGTATGTACTACATACATACAGTGTAGTACTGTTTTATATCCATTGCATAGTTTATTATTATTGACATTTTAAATGAAAATAAAATTTAGTTAATTAAAATAAAGCATGATTTCAATTGATTACAATTATAATTGCAATCAATTTACAATTAAAATAGATTTCAATTTAAAAAGTTAATAATTAAAAGTGTTAACATTAAAACAAATTATTTCAATACAATAAAAAGTTAAATTAATGCTAATTTAGTTATAAATGTTATTTCCTTATCATTATTTCTAAATTCAATTGAATTTAATGTTTAATTTTAAGATTTATTGTGAATCTTGTGACACATAATCGAGATCTCGTATGACATCTTTGAAAATAGCACCAGGATCATTTTCAGCGCTAATCCTAACCACCTTTCTATGGAAGTGATCGACAATTGGTTGTGTGTTGTCGTGAAAAAGCGGACAATCGTTGAATCATTACATCGCTGTTGTCATCCACTCGACCACTGGTCAGCCCTCTGGACAACAATCGCTTAATAATCACATTATCATTGCATTCAATGTATGGCATCAGATCACAGGCACTGACTTCATGTTCAAAACTGATGGACTGATTTTGATGGCATGAAAGCTATTTCAGAATTCCTATACATTGAGAAAAATGAATATTTTTGTCAATATTTGCGAGCATTTAGGGCACGACTCCAATGGTGTGAATACAGCGGTCGACCATTTGCTGCAATACTGTCGACACAATATTCAACCAGAATTTGCCACAAATATTGTTTAAAATTGTCAAGGCTTATAATATTGATTAAAATTATTGACCACGCTAATTATTAATTCTACTTCCAAGTATATGGATTAATATGAAATATCGAATATATCGTATAACAACCTACATATAAATACAACAAAAAATGATTATCCAAGGTATATAATATATGATTCAATATAACGGATGAAACCTGACAAATATAGGCCTATCTTTCGCATCTTGCAAGCTTTTTTTTGCTTACGACTAAATATCAATATCTTTTTAACTTAAACTCATTGTCTTTATACAATAAAGATATTATTTGTATAAGATTTGTATATTATTTGTGTAAAATTATATCAATATAATCAATATAATTATTTAAAATATACAATTAGTTTACCTGTGCAAACAATGGAAATGTGAGTACACCAAAAGGCCCCACTTTAATACCCAGTTTAATATTACATAAATTATTTAATTTCTCAAAATAAGTCATAAGTTTAATTTTAAACCCCAACCGAAATGGCCAACCCTGTAGATGCCACTGGAGTTTATCCAATAGGTGAGCCATTAAATGCAATTTATATGACATGTAAGCAAATATAAAATTAATGCCAAATACAAACATCAAGCATACAACAATTGACCAGGTTGATACAATTATCATCTCGATAGGTAGTGTCTGAAACAATAATTGATGCCAACATATCAGGGTAATAGGTATGACGCATATCATTTCTGCAAATAGTATCTGGCTAATTATTATATTGTAGTCACCAAATGTCATACATAATTTATTATGACTTAAAACAAACTTGTTAATTGCTTGGAATAATTTTATATTATTTCTAGTAACCCGATTGTGCCTGTTCAAAATTGTCATGATACTTTTATTCACAGTATTTATGGCATTTAATAACAAGTAACTTATTATTGGTAATGTGCATGATACAAATAATGAGTCGATTCCCATTGAATATAATGACAGCCATGTAAATAGTTGAGGAATAAATGATATAATAAATTCATCCAGGTTATAATAATTTATAGGGATTACAATTATAAGTACAGCAGTCATTGTATCTAAAAATTATTTTAAGATTTATTTTTAAATATATATATTCATATTTACTTACATATTATGGAAAATGTTATGATGGATATTTTGTAACATAACCTTGTTAACTTAGTAATTTTGTTCATGTTAGTGATCTGTGAAATTATGTATGAACAAGGTTCGTGTTTTATTGAACCATTAATTACGTAAAATATTTCAAAAAACTTAATAGATTTATTATTAAGGTTTAAATGTAAAGCCACTGATATAAGGGCACCAAATAGGTAGGAAAATATTAGTATCAAGGTATTAAACTCTTGTATGCCACCCAAAGCTATTGATATGTCCGATAGTAATAAACGTGTTTGATAGTTACATTTAAGGCATATTATAAATTTAAATATATTTACAATGTAACATAAAAATATAAACTTTTCAATAAATGTTGACTTATTTTTTGAATTTATTTTTGTGTGAATTTTATTTAAATAAATATCTAGAAAATAATTTTTATTAACATCGCTAATAGTAGTTATATTTTCCATTAAACAATGTTTGTAAATACTTTATCCAAGATTGTATCTTATTATAAATGTATTATTATTAATGTTTTATATAACATTATAAATCATTATTATTCATTATAATGTTAAAAATATTTTATATAATATTCCTGAATAATGTATAGTACTTATCAAATGTAAAAGTGCAATATTGATTTTTGTTTAAATAATAGTTTATATTTCACAATATTTGCTAGTTCGCATTTGATAATACTACTTATTTCATATTATAAATGATTTCAGTTGGATATACTTCAGTGTACTAGTATAATATAAATATTTAAATAAAAACTAATACAAATAACACTTAATTTATATTTGCCGTGCGATCAGTATTATTATTAATATGAATAAGTTTCAGATTGTATTAATAAATGAATAATAAATTTATTTTTAATAAAGGTTCATTCAATAAGTATATACGTATTGGGTGGGGAGAGGGGGGG